ATAGTGAAAACAGGGGTTATACCGTGGGGGAGGGACATACAAAGCAACAAAGAAATATCTTATAAATATGTTAGAAACAATAGCAATAGAGAAAAAAACAGTTGAGTCCTTATCTTGGGGCTCATTTTGCCTAACATTAACTTATCTGACCATGTCTGCTTGTCTCAGACATGAATACAATGCATTTTAATTCAATGTGTGTTCCATGTAAAATTGGGCATTTCTTTCATTGTATTTCACTTATTTACATATTTTACAAATTGTAAAGCAAGCACATCCATTCTCCATAACTTGAATAAACACATACATATAATATATTCATATATACTAATGCATTATTAATATACACATTAATATATACATGTATCTGAATATATTATATGTGTGTATTAAATATAATATATTTGAAAATGTAAACTTTAATAATAATGAAATGCTTAAGCCAGTGAATTTATCTTGTGTCAATTTATTTCCTTGTGTATGTGCTTTAATAATTATAAGAGTTTAAATCATATACCAAATATGAATTTGAACAAGGAAATTCACTTGTTATTAAAGTGTGTAAGTTTTTAATCATATTAAAGATTTTATTGAATATTATTACTAAGTTCAGTATGATTAAATTTGACATTAATAATAAATAATATAAACATAATACATTCCAGAGATTGCCGAGTCATTTTGTGTTCCTTCTCCTATTCCTACTTATTCCTATTCTTACCTATTCCTACCTATCATCCCAGGAACTTTGTAAATATCTTAAGAGTAAAGTTTCCTGCAATTATGGAAGAAAGAGCAAGATTGTCACAATGCTATAGAACTTTTTTTGTTGCAGGGCTTGGGGCTTGAACTCAGGGCCTGAGCACTGTTCTGAGCTTCTTTTGCTCAAGACTAGCACTCTATCACTTGAGCCACAGTGCCACTTCCATATTTATCTGTGTTTGTGGTACTGAGGAATCGAACGCAGGGCTTCATGCATGCTTGGCAAGCACTCCACCATTAAGCCATATTCCAGCACTGCTGTAAAACTTTGAAGAAGATACCCCTATTTTCTTTTAAAATATTAGGGGAGACTTTCTCATAAAATTGTACAGAATTTACTAAATCATTTCCTGAATAGAATTACAGATGGGGAGCATTGTAAATTTAAATTTATGACAACAAAAGCCAATAATGGTTTGGCTTCTTTTTTTCTCATGATGTACTATCAGCCTAGGGCTAAACTCCTGAGAACTAGAACTCTTAAAAACATATTTCTTCATTGTAAAGATACTGTACAGAGGAGCTACAGTTACATGAATAAGGTAATGACTACATTTCTTGTTGAGCATTGTTACTCCCCTTTGTTTTTCTCCCAGTATCCCTTCCCTCCCCACCTCCCCAACTCCTTCCCCCTCAGAAGTTGTAAAGTTCTTTTCAAGTTGTAAAGTTCATTTTATATGTCTTATTATTACAATGGGTGATCCTGTATCCTTGTTTTATTTTGTTATTTTCCTTCCCTCACCCCAATTAGAAAAATGTATATACAAGATGCAGGGCTAGAATTCTTCAAAGTAACCTCCTCCACAATGCTTCTAGATATGAAAGATTTGAAATCCATGTTTTCTATCTTCCTTTGAATATTTCTTGTAAGTGTAACATCTGACTCCTACTTGTATTCCACAATTGAGGCAGGATCAATAAGGAGAGTCATCATGGCCTTCCAATGTTCCAACAATGATAAAATCACACATACCACAAATTAACTCTCTCTCTGTCTCTCTGTCTCTGTCTCTGTCTCTTTCTCTTTCTCTTTATTGGTATCAGTAAATTTTTGCTTAAGGCTAGACCTCTACCATTTGAGCCACAGCTCTACTTTCAGATTTTTTGTAGTTGATTGGATGATTCTCTTAGATATTCTTGGGTAGGCTGGCTTTGAACCTCTATCCCCAGATGTCAGCTTTCTGAATAACCAGATTTACAGGTGTGAGCCACGAGCTTCCAGCTAAATCCCAAATCCTTAAAACTTATTATGGCTGCTATTTTATCAACCAGAGCATTAGGTGGATAAATGTCAAGTATCTACTCTATCTTGAGTCAGAGATGATATATAAAAGACAATTCTTCTTTGGCCAGGGGAAGAATTGTCAAGAATTCATTGTATAATCCATGAAATTAAGAAATATAAGGGGCAGGGTGGGTTAAAGGGTGATGAGATTATTGAAGGGCCTGACAAAGATGGAGATGTATTGTCTTCACATACTGCTTTGTTAATTGACATCTCTGGTATACAACTACTTAAAATAATAAGAAAAACAAAAGAAAGTTCTACTCAGATTGCCTCACTTCATGGAATCCAACTTGGTTAAAAGACAAAGATAATCCAGACAAGAACAAAGACATCATCCAAGAAAGTTGAAGAAGTAGAGACTAATGGCAGAAATCAAATTCCACCCTGAGGCTAGAACAAGTAGGGGAAGCTTCTGTGGTTACCAGACCCAGTAAGAAATGGATCCAGCCACCTTCTTTCCCAATGAATGCTGTGGGAAGGACCTTCAAATGAGAATGTGACCACTTTAGCATGTGCATATTGAATCCTGAAGAGAATGAGACTGAAATGGAGTTCCTGCTCCCTTCCCACCCCTGACCTTTGGCTGATTCCTCATGGTGGCCAATTGCCACTGTGCTCCTTTTGAGTCCATAACTTTAGGTAGACAAAATAAGACAGGCCAAAAGACAATGCCTCTCAATCTGTGTAGAGGAAAAGAAACAAAACTCAGCATAACTATATTATCTCTAAAGCAACCATGCCCCTGCAGATTTGAACAATTGCTTATGTCAAAAAGATCAATGCAGAAACCTCAAAATCAGTTGCTAGCCTGAGTTTATGAAAAGTGAATTGATTTATCAGACTCACAAAACTTTGTACCTCTGCTGTATGTGGTTCTATATTAGAGGTTATAACTAAGAGAAAATATTACTGGTGTTCAACATGAACTAAAATATATACTGACTCCCATTGCATCATTGTTCTTGGGAGATTTAATTCCCTGGTGGTAGTAGAGAGTAGGGGAAACTTCTTTTCCTCAGTGAACTTATCATCTTCAGAATGGGAAGACACTGCATGTTCATAATGAAAATTGCTTTCTGGAAGAAATAATTAGACCACAGGGATTTGCTTCCTCAGAGAAATTCTGCTATAAACGATTCCAGCTTTTCTTCTCAATGCTGTCATGGTGAATTCACTTTCCTGTCTCAGGTAGGATAAACTATTGTCCCTCTAAGTTGTGAAATACAAAAACAAACATTGCAACTGACAAAACAATGGAGCTAATCCTAATATGATGAATTAGTGTCTGTTAAAATAGAATTTATTTCTCATTTATTGTCTGTAATGAATGGAAATGAACAACCAGTAAGAGTGGTTTTTACATAATGGAAAGGAAAATGAACCGCAGAGAATTCTAATTTGACAATGTTTACTTACAATTAGGAAAGGTCTTCCTTAACTACTGCTGGATCTAAACCATGGATTAGCTATATAATTCCTAAGAATGTATTCTTTGATTTGATACTTAGTCTCTGCTAGACTTACAACTTGCTCTTTTATTCCAGTGGCTAACATCTTTCATGTGCTTATTATATGGCAATATATTTTAAAAGATTTTTCCTGAATTCATTTCCTCACATAGAAGAAACTGCCATTACCACTCAAATTCTGAGAAACTAAAAATATAAAGCAGAAACTATGGTAACTTACCCAGGCCATACAAGTAGAAATGGAAGGACTGGATTTCTACCTAGGGAGTACCTAGGATTTCTACCGAGGGAGTGCAGATATTCAGGAATTGTTAGACTACTGACTTGAAATGAGTCCCCATGAGTTCATAAGAAGAGAAATAAAATAAGGCGTGGTATTAAGCATATGAGCATATGCGTATAGCTATTGGGCCCTTGTGATTGATCCTCTCCTAAGAATATCTTCCTTTGGTCTCACTGTGTGAATGTTTAAGTCCTGTTCAATTTGTCATGTATAAGAATAATTTTTGTCTTTTATTATCCAGTGGTTTTACTTGTAGGTTTATAAGCACATTCTAATTATTACAAATGAGGGAAACCTTGCAACCTATGTTTGTTTGAGTCTGGATTCCTTTGCTTAATATAATTTTTTCAGAGTCTTTCCATTCTTTTCATTCTTTCTGATGGAAGCACAGAATTCCATTGTGTAAATAAACCACATTTTCTTTTTCCACTACCGGGCATCTGGATTGATTCTATATCTTAGCTATGGTAAACAAGGTTGCAATGAACATTTTTTTCCTGTTTTTCCCCTTTTGTCACTGTTTTTGATTTCTGTATTTTTTGTCTTATATCCAAGTTTATCGGATCTGGGGAGGGATGGGGAAGCATACAAATGGTAGAACATAGGGTAAACTAATGCAGCAGTGATACTCAGTAGATACTTTGTTGAAAATGAACCATACAACTTGTGGGGGAGGGGCACTGGGAAGGAAAAAACTGGGGAAAACAAGGGAAGAGGTGACCCTCTGTGTATCACCTTTACAATAATTTATTTTTTTTAAAGCATGAACAGAGACTAACAGCAACACCACTGGAGAATTACGTTTCAATATTTTTCATTATTGTCTTGATTGCAGTACAACAGAGCTTTCTGGAACACTTTTCCCTTGCCATATGCCATGTCATAAATATTCAATAACAGAAATGCATACACACATAAAATTGTATAAACAGTCATCTATCAATCAACCTGTTGATCGATCTGTCTGTCATCTCTCTTTCTATTTGCCTATCTAGCTATCTTCTACAACTCCACATGAATCTTGACGTTGAAAAGATTAAATTTGTGCTTCTTAAGTCCTGTGTTTGTGTTGTGAGTCTTTACAAGGTGGAAGGAAGAGGAGGATTTCCCAGAGCATATGATGGAGCTAATGAATGAATGACAAAGCCGTATGCGTTTATTTCCTCTTCTTTAGGTCTCATTGGAAGACAAACCAATAATGTTAAAGAAAAACCACACAGTAGTAACTGAGTTTATTCTTCTGGGACTGACAGAGCGAGAGGAATTGCAGCCAGTCCTCTTTGTGGTGTTCTTACTGGTCTACCTCATCACGGTAATTGGCAATGTGACTATGATTTGCTTAATCAGAAGTGACTCAAAGCTTCACACCCCAATGTACTTCTTCCTCAGTCATCTCTCCTTTGTCGATCTCTGCTATGCTACCACTGTCACACCCCAGATGCTGGTTAATTTCTTGTCCAAGAGAAAAACCATTTCCTTTATCGGATGCTTCATCCAATTCAACTTCTTCATTGCTCTGGTCATCACCGACTATTATATGCTCACAGTGATGGCTTATGATCGTTACATGGCCATCTGCAAGCCCTTGCTATATGCTAGCAAAATGTCCAGCTGTGTCTGCCTCTCTCTCGTTGCTGCTCCTTATATTTATGGCTTTGCAAATGGTTTAACACAGACCATCCTGATGCTTCGCCTGACTTTCTGTGGACCCAATGAGATCAACCACTTCTATTGTGCAGACCCTCCCCTCATGGTCCTTGCTTGCTCTGATACCTATGTTAAAGAAACTGCCATGTTTGTGGTGGCGGGTTCCAACCTCAGCTGCTCACTCACCATCATCCTCATCTCCTATATTTTCATTTTCACCACCATTCTGCGTATGCGCTCTGCAGAGGGGAGGCGCAAGGCCTTCTCTACCTGTGGGTCCCATCTGACAGCGGTCACTGTGTTTTATGGGACCCTATTCTGTATGTACCTGAGGCCCCCTTCTGAGACATCTGTAGAACAGGGAAAAATTGTAGCTGTGTTTTATATCTTTGTGAGTCCTATGTTAAACCCTCTGATCTATAGCCTGAGGAACAAAGATGTAAAACATGCAATAAGAAAAATCATCAAAAAGGAATTATTTATTAAATAAGATTGATGTGATCGTATGAAAGGCATCCTTATTCTCTAGCAAGATAATGAAAATAATTAATTAACAAATCACTGTCTCATTATGTATTGTCCTTTTGGACAAGAATCAAAATATGTGTTGTCCTTTTGAATTCACATATGGGAATTAAAATATGTGCTACATCATCATCAGGTTGTCTGCACTGATATAGAACTATTGTAAAATAAGAAATTATATAAATATATTGACTAAGATTACATAGGAATATAACTATATAGATACATAGACTATGTGAAGTTTCATTGCTCCAAAATTAATATAGAATAGATAATTGCACCTAAAGTACCAAGTGCTATTTTCGACAGTTCTTTAGACATTTATTGTACTTCATATCCTTCCAAGTATTTTCCATAAACTGTTTGTCATAGTAGGTAAGTTTTCTTGAAATTTCATTCTCATCATATAGTTAATACAAATTTAGGATTGGCTCAGATCATTACTCTGAGTTATAACTTATATATGATATACTGATTCAAATTGGTATAGATGGAAATGTCAGATTTCTGATTGAATTCGTTTGCAATGTCTCTTTTACCTATTCTTTCTCATTCCTTGTTCTTTTTAAATAGAATGTAGTTATAATAATAATAATAAAAATATAATACATGGGCATTCATGTTGATAAAAATCTCTTCAATAAACCATTTTTAAGATTACTTATCTAAATTTTTCTAGGACCCATCCACACCTTTTTCTTTGCCTATTTTATAACTATCATGTTCATTTTTTCTATATGGCTTTGACTTTTACTTATTTATTTTGGTTGTGGGGCTTGAACTCAGGACCTGGGCTCTGTTCCTGATTTTTTTTTTTTAATTACAGCTAGCAAATGTTAATTTAATATTTCTTATCCCTGAATAGTATTGTATTATCATTTGCTGGGCGATTATCATTATGTGTTAAGAGAATTATATAGCAATGTTTAAATGAATTTGACTTGATATAAATGAAATTGATCTAAAATTTTTTAGCTATTTTCCACTAACATTCTTAAATTGCATTTTCCATTTCCTAGTAATGGAAGCAATTCCTTGTGGAATTGTAAAGATATGCCTGTGATTTGATTCTAGGATATAACTTAGGGCTTCATGCATGTGAGGCAAATTTTGTACTGTTGAGCTGAACTAAATGTATTACTTTACTTTAGTTGTACTTTGTACATGATGTCTAAGGAATTATTTTCTTAAATAAAAATAGTTCTGAATTTTCTACATGTGTTTTGAATTTTGATTTGCATTGTGAACCCTTTATTCTTTCTGGTATTATAAATGCTGCAAAACAGGTTTATATTCTATTTTTTTTTAGTTTGTCACTTTTGTATTTTTACGTGTGTGTGTGTGTGTATGTGTGTGTGTGTGTGTTTGTGTGTGTGTGTGTGCCTATCCTAAAGCTTGAACTCAGGGCATGGTAACTGTCCCTGTTTTTTTTCCTTTTTTTCTCAAGACTAGCACCCTAAAAAAAAAAAAAAGACTAGCACCCTGTCACTTGAGCCACAGCTCTACTTCCAGCTTTTTTCATATATAATTGGACACAACTATCTCAGGACTTTCCTGACTGGTCTGGCTTTGAACCACAATCCTTAGATCTGTCTCCCAAATAGAAATGATTACAGGCATGAGTCACTAGTGCCTAACCTACATACTTAATCAGCTTAGCACGCATAGTATGTACCTATCCAGCCTTTGAGAGGCAGAGGCAAGAGAAAGAAAATAATCAAATTTCCATTTCTGACTAATCAGCATTTCCATTGAAATTGTGATCTTATTGGTCAAATTTTTATGGATGTATCAGTCTAGTCATGGCATCTTTATGTTCAGACCCATTTGTCATATACTTTATCATTAAATATTGTAATAAAATATTTTGACCAAACTTTTTATTTTCAAAGATAATTTCATTTTCAAAGATAAAAACTAGGCTTATTATCCTCTTAGTTTAAGACTGGCACTTAATACATATCGCATTATAAGAACTCTTAAGAGGCATTGTGGTAATTATATTTGTATTATAATTACATTTCAGGAAAGTATGTGTTTCTGAATATGAAAAGTATATGTAAAGTTATAGATGTATATTTCATATGGAGACTACTCCTAGGAGAAATTTTAAAAAATCAGATCAAAATGATATGGCTATATACCACATTGCATATGTTTCATGATATAAAATTTGGCCAAAGCCTTATCTAATTTTGCACTCACAGTATAGCAAAAGTTGCAATTTTTCTGAGGACAATTAATTAAATAATTCATATTGATTTCAAGAAGAAAATGCATCTTTCATTATTTTCAGAATCATCATTCTAGGTTTCTTTGAAGTTCCTGACATTTGCAGTGACCTCTACCTTTAGCTTTTGATTGGATCTTTTGATGTGGGGCTATTGAAAGCCATAGAGATGGCATTTGACATTTGGAATGTGCTAGGGATAACAACAAGAATTTATGCTTCCTGACAGATCTCTCAGATAGATAACGGCAAAAGAATTCTGAGCTTGATATAAAAGACTAGGGTAGAGGAGTGAAGGACGTTGGAGAGAGTCTTTGAAGGATGCTGTGGGATCCTCTTCCTGCACGTGCCATGTGTAGACTTCACTGGGGTAAAGGGAGATTGGTGTTCCTTCTTATTTTTTTATTTGTACCTTGCCTTTTCAATGGGATCTTTATTTATATCTATATTCTTTCTGAATATCAGAAGATTGGACAATGGAATGACAATGTAACATGTCCATCTAAGTATCCAGTTGTTCCTTTCCAGAGTCAGACATTCTGTCCGGTGATGCTTTTGAAAAGACTTATCAAAGACGCCTGGTTGTTAATGCATAGCAATACTCTTCTCCTAGGTGCTGATAGAGATATTGAGGCTGCCACAGCTTGAAAATGGAAGGAAAGAGAAGAGTTACTCCATAGCTCTGCTGTATCTAGGTTACAACAATACAGAGGAAAAGACCACAAAGTCCTAAGTTACAAGGTCAAACCCAAATTTTCCTGCTGTCCTGCCAGTCATTTGGACATTTGCCTCCTCCATGTAGGCCTCTATTGAGACAAGATTTGGAACAAAATTTGAGTCAGTATCCCTTCTAATTTTCAATAACAATGAACCCAGAATATTGAAATTCAACAGTTATTATTAGAGCTATTTCTGTTTCCATTGTGACATGACTTGAATACTTGAATGTCACTCTGGCCTGGATTAGAGATGATACATAAAAGATAGTTCTGTTTTGAGGGCTGATGTCAATGGAATCTGATGGAGACAAAACAGAGGGGCCCTATTGAGGACATCATTCAAGGAAGTTGAAACAGCAGAAGCAAACAGCAAAATATGATTTATCACCTGAGACCTGAGAGTGGGAGATCAATGGTCACTGTCATCAGAGTTCAGAGATAGCTAGATCTAGAAAGGAGATCAACCACTTCTATTGTGCAGACCCTCCCCTCGTGGTCTTGCTTGCTCTGATACCTATGTTAAGGAAACTGCCATGTTCGTGGTGGCGGGTTCCAACCTCAGCTGCTCACTCACCATCATCCTCATCTCCTATATTTTCATTTTCACCATCATTCTGCATATGCGCTCTGCAGAGGGGAGGCGCAAGGCCTTCTCTACCCGTGGGTCCCTTCTGACAGTGGTCACTGTGCTTTATGGGACCCTATTCTGTATGTACCTGAGGCCCCTTTCTGAGACATCTGTAGAACAGGGAAAATTGTAGCTGTGTTTTATATCTTTGTGAGTCCTATGTTAAACCCTTGCATCAATAACCTGAGGAACAAAGATGTAAAAAATGCAATAAAGAAAATTATGCAAAAGGAATCACTTATTAAGTAAGATTAGTTATGGTCATAGTGATAGAATATACCCTTATTCTCTGACATATTAGTAAGCATTTTGAAATACACTTTAAGAAAAGTGATTTATGTCTATCTTAGTTCAAATAGGAAACTAACAATATGTAGTAAGTTATGAGTCAGTGGTTATAGTTCTTTTTCAGTGAATTTATTTTTAAAAGCAAAGACTACTGAAGTCCTGACCAGAGACCTTATAATTGCTCTTCAAATTCAATATGGAGCAGATGACTTGTTTATGTTTCTCCTGTTCCCACGTCATTTTGGTTGGATTCCCAGATGTTCTTTTTCCTGATTATCCATTAGATTTTATTAGTGCTTAGTAGTGTATAAATTATTTTCCAGAAAATCCAACCATAAAAAGTGAGATTTTTGTGAGTTTTTGCAAATTATATAGTATTTAAATATTTTACTTACTATTTCAATATATATTTGACAACATGTTTCTTTTTGAAAAAATTATTTATTATTATTCTAGAGTTGATATACAGAGTGTTCACAGTTACATGAATAAGCTAGTGAATAATGAGTACAACTCTTTTTGAACCATGTTTCCTCTTCCATAGTTCTCTCCCAGTTTTCCCCTCCTATCACTACCCAACAGTGTCTAGTGAGTTACCACTGTTGTATTTGTTTACCTTTGTTCCACCTTTTTGGTGTTCTTCCCCTTCCCCTCCCAAATATAAACAAATAAGACAAATGTAAAAGAAAACAAAAACAGCACCAAAAATGTCTCTTGCTTCCTTGTCTCTTAAAGTTATCCATTCACATCCTCACACACTAGACATAGATGGATATACCAAATTTGTTAGAAGGGCTTTGATATATTTTCTTAACAAGTAGCATTCGTATCAATAAGCTACCTCATATTGTATTCTTTGTTTATAATTTCCTGTTGTTTTAAAACAGAATTATCTTAATGTTTTTACCCATATTGATGCATGGGCATTTATGTATGTGGAATTTACTTCAGTAATGCTTTTGAAGTTAGGGCCTTCCAATCTGCTTAGCTTTTCTACTCAAGGCTACCGCTCTACTACTTGAGCCACAACTTTACTTCCAGCTTTTTTTTTTTTTGATTAGTTGGAGATTAAAGCCTCTTGAATTTGTCTTCCCAAGCAG